GAGAGAGAGAGAGAGGGGGGGGGGGAGGGGAGGGGGGGAAGAGAAAAGGCATACGACCATAAAACGCAAGTAACAACATAATGTAGGCCACTGTGCCACAAGAGACAGTAGATCACTGTGCCACAAGAAACAGTAGGCCACTGTGCCACAGGAAACAGTAGATCACTGTGCCACAAGAAACAGTAGGCCACTGTGCCACAAGAAACAGTAGATCACTGTGCCACAAGAAACAGTAGATCACTGTGCCACAAGAAACGGTAGATCACTGTGCCACAAGAAACAGTAGGCCACTGTGCCACAAGAAACGGTAGATCACTGAGCCACAAGAAACAGTAGATCACTGTGCCACAAGAAACGGTAGATCACTGTGCCACAAGAAACGGTAGATCACTGTGCCACAAGAAACAGTAGATCACTGTGCCACAAGAAACAGTAGGCCACTGTGCCACAAGAAACAGTAGATCACTGTGCCACAAGAAACGGTAGATCACTGTGCCACAAGAAACAGTAGATCACTGTGCCACAAGAAACAGTAGATCACTGTGCCACAAGAAACAGTAGATCACTGTGCCACAAGAAACAGTAGATCACTGTGCCACAAGAAACAGTAGATCACTGTGCCACAAGAAACAGTAGATCACTGTGCCACAAGAAACAGTAGATCACTGTGCCACAAGAAACAGTAGATCACTGTGCCACAAGAAACAGTAGATCACTGTGCCACAAGAAACAGTAGGCCACTGTGCCACAAAGAAACAGTGGATCACTGTGCCACAAGAAACAGTAGATCACTGTGCCACAAGAAACAGTAGATCACTGTGCCACAAGAAACAGTAGATCACTGTGCCACAAGAAACAGTAGATCACTGTGCCACAAGAAACAGTAGGCCACTGTGCCACAAGAAACAGTAGATCACTGTGCCACAAGAAACAGTAGGCCACTGTGCCACAAGAAACAGTAGATCACTGTGCCACAAGAAACAGTAGGCCACTGTGCCACAAGAAACAGTAGATCACTGTGCCACAAGAAACAGTAGATCACTGTGCCACAAGAAACAGTAGGCCACTGTGCCACAAAGAAACAGTGGATCACTGTGCCACAAGAAACGGTAGATCACTGTGCCACAAGAAACAGTAGGCCACTGTGCCACAAGAAACGGTAGATCACTGAGCCACAAGAAACAGTAGATCACTGTGCCACAAGAAACGGTAGATCACTGTGCCACAAGAAACAGTAGATCACTGTGCCACAAGAAACAGTAGGCCACTGTGCCACAAGAAACAGTAGATCACTGTGCCACAAGAAACGGTAGATCACTGTGCCACAAGAAACAGTAGGCCACTGTGCCACAAGAAACGGTAGATCACTGTGCCACAAGAAACAGTAGGCCACTGTGCCACTGTGTCCCATCTCTAGCTCATTGCTACTTACCTGCCTTGTGGAGGTTCCGGGGATCAACGGCTCCGGCGGCCCGGTTTCCGATCAGGCCTCCTGGTAGCTCGTCTGGTCAACCAGGCTGTTGGACGCTGCTGCTCACAGCCTGACGTATGAATGAACAGCCGGGCTGATCAGATATTCCTTGGGGGGGGGGGGTGTTTGTCAAGTGCATCTCCCAAGATACACACACGCGTTTCCCCCTCGCCTCTAAAGTGCACTCAAAGATGCAAGGTATTATTGCACTCCAAATTTATGCACTGCAAAATATATATAGGCTTTTGGAGGGTATCTTTTCTGTTCAGGTCAGAGAAAGTTTCCCCTGAAGAAAATGTGGATGTTATTCGTTTTCTAATCTCGCTATCGTTTTCCCTGTATGTGGAGTCGTGTTCCCTGTGTGTGTGTGGAGTCGTGTTCCCTGTGTGTGGGGTCGTGCCCTGTGGGCTGTGAAAATCTTTTGTATAAATTCACTGAGTGATGAATGATTAGTTTATGTTACTCCTTAAAATTTGTATAACTTTCTCTTAGTTTACAGTGAATTACTTACCTAACTTATGTAAACAAAACCAACCATCAGTGCACTAAACTGACATTTATGAATGAAGTATTCCAACTTGAACAACCACGTTGAGGAAGAAGAGAGATCACAGATGTAGACTACAACAAGACAACGGACTGTCAGAGTAGAGTTTAATGTGAGAGAGAACTGGAAGGAAGAGAGAGATAGTAGCGAGGGAGAGAGAGAGAGTGAGTGAGAGGGAAAGAGATAGTAGATAACACCATTTCAAGGGACGAGATTCATTATACCAGATAACTGGGAGCTAAAGGACGGGGTCCAAAGGTTGGAGATCAACCAACCCTCTGAAACACAGTTCTATGACTGCGTATACTGACACACGCTTGATCCCTGCAAGCACAACTAGGCCGGTACATTTAAGTGAGCAAACATATGCATTAATAGCAGCGGCCATAGATTAGAGAAGGCAGCGAGACGGAGCCCAAGGATCCCAACTCACTCCGGCAGACACAAGCAGCGAAGTACACATCAACAGAAACCCACCCGAGAGAGCAAGTAGGGTATTGAACCCCCCCAACCCCCAGGCTGAGTCACGTAATAATTCATATCTGTGTGTGTGGGAGAAGGGAGGGGTTGCAGAGAAGACCGGGCACCTCCCTCAGGTGACTAAGACTCCAGTATATGGCCAGCAGTTCCGCTCTCAAGTTAAAACTTGAAACGCCGCCGCCCACCACAGCTCCGAGATGAAAGCAGATGGGAATGTGGGGGTCCCACCTCGCGGGAACTTTCACGCGTTCCACCTTCCTAATCTAGTTTACCTGTGCGTAAATAGAACCCATTACCTGGTGACCTAATAGACGGGGGCTAACTTGATTGTTTCAAGCGATGGATAGATATGTATATGAATTAGTGTGGGTGGATATAATTAACTGCTGCCTCCCCCCCCCCCTTACGGGCCAATAGACCGTCTGCTGTTTTTTTAACTTATGTCTTGTTAGACGCCCTTGTTCAGCAGAGCATTACAAGCAGGCACTTAGTTTGTTATTCTGCCAATATTTTATCGTTTGTATTGCTGGAAATCAGAGTACAATTCATTGAGACTTGGGGAGGAAGAGTGCCAGGTGAGGCACGGTGCCAGGTGAAGCCCGACGCCAGGTGAGGCCCGACGCCAGGTGAGGCCGACGCCAGGTGAGGCCCGACGCCAGGTGAAGCAACCAGTTAGTGTGTTGTGGTGGGTCAACAAATCACCTGTTGGTGATAGGTGTTAGGAGAGAGAGAGAGACAGAGACGGGGGAGACAGAGAGAGAGAGGTGGCGGGCTCTCCGTGCTGCCATATACGGTGTGGATGAAGTCATGCTGCCGTCCTAAACATTCTTAAGAATGTCGACCTTGCCAAGTCTGAGTTCCATCTCCTTTATGCAGGGTTGTGTTGAGGAATTCATAGTGGAAGTATTCTTGCCGCTATGTTGCTGTTATGACAGTGTCATGACTGTAGGTGACAGCGTCATGACTGAAGATGACAGTGTCATGACTGTAGGTGACGGTGTCATGACTGTAGGTGACAGTGTCATGACTGAAGATGACAGTGTCATGACTGAAGATGACAGTGTCATAACTGTAGGTGACAGTGTCATAACTGTTGGTGACAGTGTCATGACTGTAGGTGACAGTGTCGACTGTAGGTGACAGTGTCGTGACTGTAGGTGACAGTGTCATGACTGTAGGTGACAGTGTCGTGACTGTAGGTGACAGTGTCATGACTGAAGATGACAGTGTCATGACTGTTGGTGACAGTGTCATGACTGTAGGTGACAGTGTCGTGACTGTAGGTGACAGTGTCATGACTGTAGGTGACAGTGTCATGACTGTAGGTGACAGTGTCATGACTGTAGGTGACAGTGTCATGACTGTAGGTGACAGTGTCATGACTGTAGGTGACAGTGTCATGACTGTAGGTGACAGTGTCATGACTGTAGGTGACAGTGTCGTGACTGTAGGTGACAGTGTCATGACTGTAGGTGACAGTGTCGTGACTGTAGGTGACAGTGTCATGACGGTAGGTGACAGTGTCATGACTGTAGGTGACAGTGTCATGACTGTAGGTGACAATGGCCACATCATAACGCAGCCAAAGTCAATGGTATGTTACACATCACAGACGTGTACGTGATGTGTCACGGACGTGTACGTGATGGGTCACGGACGTGTACGTGATGGGTCACGGACGTGTACGTGATGTGTCAGGGACGTGTACGTGATGGGTTACGGACGTGTGCGTGATGGGTCACTCACACGTCACAACAATAGTGACCAAAGATGGTCTCTATTGTTGGGCAAGATGATTAGTCATTAATACCCCTTCCAGTGCCCGGGGGCGCCATTAATCGCCCCTCCAGTGCCCGTGGGTGCCATTAATCGCCTCTCCAGTGCCCGGGGGCACCATTAATCCACCTTCCAGTGCCCGGGAATGCCAAAAATCCCCCCTCCAGTGCCCGTGGGTGCCATTAATCGCCCCTCCAGTGCCCGGGGCACCCTTAATCCACCTTCCAGTGCCCGGGGGCGCCATTAATCCTCCCTCCAGTGCCCGGGGGTGCCATTAATCCCCCTTCCAGTGCCCGTGAGCGCCATTAATCGCCCCTCCAGTGCCCGTGAGCGCCATTAATCGCCCCTCCAGTGCCCGTGAGCGCCATTAATCGCCCCTCCAGTGCCCGTGAGCGCCATTAATCGCCCCTCCAGTGCCCGGGGGCACCCTTAATCCACCTTCCAGTGCCCGGGGACGCCATTAATCCCCCTCCAGTGCCCGTGAGCGCCATTAATCGCCCCTCCAGTGTCCGGGGCACCAATAATCTTCCCTCCAGTCCCCGGGGGCACCATTCAGCGATGCAAACACACACTTAGATACGAGGCACACAAATACTACGAATTCTCTCGAGTGAATTGGTCAAAAGTCGACAGTGACTGGAGACAAGCTCCCCGCTGCCTCCTCGAGCCACAGGAGGCACGAGCTGTGAACAAGCTACCGGAGGAGCCATGATGAGCTCGGCTTACCTGGGTTGATGTCAGATATTCCGATAGCAACGGCGGCGAGGCTGCAGGCGACGAGAGCCATGAGAAGGGCAGTCCGGACGACCCAGTAGGCCATGGCGAGTGAGCGCTGTGTGGCCCTACAGCAGATGACGAGCGATCAGGAGGAGGTCTTCAAGCCTCGACTGCTGACGTAACGTTAAGCCCAAAAAAAGGAGCAGTTTTCTGTAGTTACGACAGGAGAGGTTGCGTGCGTCCTGAGGGTATAGAACGCGTGCCAAGACACTGTAAAAGAAGCACTTTTGGGGGGGATGATGATGCGACTGCGCGAGGGAGGTGAGGTGTTCTGAACTTGGTGATCGCCTGGGCTGGCTTTTATATGCTACCAGAACGTGTTTACCCAGTGACGTCACGTCGTCCCCCTCTCCACCTTTCAATGTCAAGATCAGCCAGTCACCACCGCGCGCTCCCGCGCCTTCGCTCGGCTCGTGTGTGCGCCACGGGAAAACAAAATGAAACATTGCTTAAGATATATTTGATATAATGACATATATCTATAAACATATACGTGTTGAGCGGCACAAACCCAGGTTATATACGGGAAATATATATATATATATATATATATATATATATATATATATATATATATATATATATATATATATATATATATATATATATATATACGACACTGAGATCACGTCACCAGATGGCACTCCACTGGCTGCCTCTCAATGACTCGCCCACTGCATAAAAAATTCTTAATAATAATAATAATTGCACATAAAAACATAAATTTTTCATGTGGTATGAAATTGTGAGGGTTATATGGAGTCTTTTTCGGAGCTAACAGTTACTACAAGAGCTGTGAGTACTCTTGTAGTACATGGTGAGCCAGCTGTGTGTACTCTTGTAGCACATGGTGAGCCAGCTGTGAGTACTCTTGTAGTACATGGTGAGCCAGCTGTGTGTACTCTTGTAGCACATGGTGAGCCAGCTGTGTGTACTCTTGTAGTACATGGTGAGCCAGCTGTGTGTACTCTTGTAGCACATGGTGAGCCAGCTGTGTGTACTCTTGTAGTACATGGTGAGCCAGCTGTGTGTACTCTTGTAGCACATGGTGAGCCAGCTGTGTGTACTCTTGTAGCACATGGTGAGCCAGCTGTGTGTACTCTTGTAGCACATGGTGAGCCAGCTGTGAGTACTCTTGTAGTACATGGTGAGCCAGCTGTGTGTACTCTTGTAGTACATGGTGAGCCAGCTGTGTGTACTCTTGTAGCACATGGTGAGCCAGCTGTGTGTACTCTTGTAGCACATGGTGAGCCAGCTGTGTGTACTCTTGTAGCACATGGTGAGCCAGCTGTGTGTACTCTTGTAGTACATGGTGAGCCAGCTGTGTGTACTCTTGTAGTACATGGTGAACCAGCTGTGTGTACTCTTGTAGCACATGGTGAGCCAGCTGTGTGTACTCTTGTAGCACATGGTGAGCCAGCTGTGTGTACTCTTGTAGCACATGGTGAGCCAGCTGTGTGTACTCTTGTAGTACTTGCTGAGTAGTCTTGTGAGCATTTGAAAACTAATTACTATAACCTATTTTTGTACAAATTCAAGTTAAAGTTTATTCATTAACAATTGTATATTAGTAATTTATATATTTATAATATGTGAATAATATATATATATATATATATATATATATATATATATATATATATATATATATATATATATATATATATATATATATATATATATATATATATAATATGTAATATATGTATTATAATTTACATATTTATAATATGTGACACAAGAATTCTGCACATATTCTGCGCTGTTGGCATCTTTATCAGCTTATCAGTGTTAACATGGTGATTAACCTTCCTTTTGATGACTTCTTTCACGTGTAACCTAATCATTGTTGATACGGATCTGAACCTTCACTCGATAGAGTGCCTCGTCGGCTAGCGTTTTGCTATAGGCGTGTACGCGCCTAGTTATTGTGCTTGCGGTGGTTGAGCTATGGCTCTTTGGTCCCGCCTCTCAACCGTCAATCTACTGATATACAGATTCCGGAGCTTCTCGAACTTTATTATATCTACATTTGAAACTGTGTATGGAGTCAGCCGCATCACTTCCTAGTGCATTCCCTTTACTGACTACTGTGACAGTGGAAGACTTTTACTCTGCGTGTGGAAGAGCACCGTTGACACAGACATTAACAATACTTTGTAACACTCGTTAGTATCTTCCATACATGGTGTAGTGGTAAGACACTCGCCTGGCGTTCCGCGAGCGCTATGTCATGGGTTCGTATCCTGGCCGGGGAGGATTTACTGGGCGCAATTCCTTAACTGTAGCCTCTGTTTAACGCAACAGTAAAATGTGTACTTGGATGAAAAAACGATTCTTCGCGGCAGGGGATCGTATTCCAGGGACCATAGGATTAAGGACTTGCCCGAAACGCTACGCGTACTAGTGGCTGTACAAGAATGTAACTACTCTTGTATATATCTAAAAAAAAAAAAAAAAAAAAAAAAAAAAACATGCAGATATCATCAACATACCTGCAGTAAACGTCTAGTTTGAGGTCAAGATCAACTAGGAATTTTCTCTGTGGTACCCATCTTAAAAGTCTCAAATGAGCCAACTTACGGGGAACCCCAAACGATACCATTGACCTGAGCATGTATGAGACCATCAGGGATCGAGTACATTCTTCGAGTATGCTTTCTAAGGCGTCAAGAGGAGTGGCAACAAGATTGAGGCCAATTTCTTCAGCATGTCGATGGTTTCATCTGCGGGTAAGTCTTGGGGCTCAATTCAGGGACTCAACACCCAGTACATCTCTCAAATGACTGACTCTCGCGAAATCTTTAAAGGATAAACCTATCTGGGACTTTAAAGCCCCAGGTGGGTTAGGTATATGGCTGAAGTTGACATTTTTGGCATTAAGAGTGATCTTTGAAACTGCATGAAAGACTGCTACCAAAATAAGTTTATATTGCTCTAAACGATCCTTTCATGCTCACATTCTAACTAATTTATGACTATAAACAAACTTCCTATTTCCTGGGAGACTGAAGCCACCATTTAGCAGAATGACGGCAAAGTGTTCCGACCTCAGCTACGACCTTATTAATTACAGCTTCACTAGGAAGTCAGGCGTCGGGGGACACTCATTAAACTCTTACGGTAAGTGTAGTCAGTGGGACATGAGGGACGAGGCTGTGGGGTACAGTGTACTCACTGTACTCACAGTGTGTGTGTGTGTGTGAGTGTGGTACAGTGTGTGTGTGCGTGTACGTGCGTGCGAGCGTGTACTGGGAATACACGCAGCACGGGGGTGTGATAGACTATCCCATGTGGATGATCTACGTACCTTAATTTACGATAGCCAGAGTGAGATCCCCATCTTACATTTCCACCAGTAACAGCTGCTCTACTTACGCCAGGATGTTGCTGCTCCTTCCCCTCCTCGTCCCTATCCCCTCCTCGTGCCTATCCCCTCCTCGTCCCTATCCCTCCTGCCCTCATTACCCTTCCTCACCTCCCCCGAGACAGTAGTAGCCTCCCGCTCCCCCCCTACTCTAGATGATGTCATTGAATTGCGTAGTCGATTCGTAGAGCGGCCGCTGGCCACGTTAAATTTTGTCTTGGGCCAGAAGGTCATTAGGGCGCATTTACATAATTTCACACCCGCGTATACAAATCTTTCTCTCATACGCGAAGTAGCACCGCGGGCATCATACACCATACACCGCGGGCATCATACACCATACACCAACACCGAGGGGCATCATACACCATACACCAAGTAACACTCAGGGCATCATACAACATATAATTAAATACACAAGCATCCGGTCCCTACTACATTATAAAGCAACGTATTCATATATATATATATATATATATATATATATATATATATATATATATATATATATATATATATATATATATATATATATATATATTGAATGTGAATTACAAGTATAATATTGTAAACAATACACACACACACACACACACACACACACACACACACACACACACACACACTATACTATATATATATATATATATATATATATATATATATATATATATATATATATATATATATATATATATATGTCGTACCTAGTAGCCAGAACGCACTTCTCAGCCTACTATGTAAGGCCAAATTTGCCTAATAAGCCAAATTTTCATGAATTATTTGTTTTTCGACTACCTAACCTACCTAACCTAACCTAACATTTTTGGCTACCTAACCTAACCTAACCGATAAAGATAGGTTACGTTAGGTTAGGTAGGCTTGGTTAGGTTCAGTCATATATCTACGTCAATTTTAACTCCAATAAAAAAATTGACCTCATACATAGTGAAATGGGTAGCTTTATCATTTCATAAGAAAAAAATCAGAGAAAATATATTAATTCAGGAAAACTTGGCTTATTAGGCAAATCGGGCCTTGCACAGTAGGCTGAAAAGTGAGTTCTGGCTACTAGGTACGACATATATATATATATATATATATGTCGTACCTAATAGCCAGAACGCACTTCTCAGCCTACTATGCAAGGCCCGATTTGCCTAATAAGCCAAGTTTTCATGAATTATTGTTTTTCGACTACCTAACCTACCTAACCTAACCTAACCTAACTTTTTCGGCTACCTAACCTAACCTATAAAGATAGGTTAGGTTAGGTTAGGTAGGGTTGGTTAGGTTCTGTCATATATCTACGTTAATTTTACCTCGAATAAAAAAAATTGACCTCATACATAATGAAATGGGTACCTTTATCATTTTATAAGAAAAAAAAATTGAGAAAATATATTAATTCAGGAAAACTTGGCTTATTAGGCAAATCGGGCCTTGCATAGTAGGCTGAGAAGTGCGTTCTGGCTACTAGGTACGACATATATATATATATAATATATATATATATATATATATATATATATATATATATATATATATATATATATATATAATATATATAAATTATACCACCTTATTAACATTCGATCGTTTCCACCTTTTAATTCTTTTATAAAATTCAATCCGTTTCTTATTAATTTAATTATAAAGTTCTGTTCTCTCTAAATGACAACATTCGGAAAAAAACTCCTAAATGCGTTTTTTTTTTCTCTCAATCTGAGACGATCAAATATATAAAAAGAATGAGTGACATGTTGTGTGTAAAGGTCATACGGTTAGAAAGCTATGTGTAATTATGTCCCTTATGAGAATGATTCAGCCTTGTACTCTCCCCCCCACGCCTCTCTTCCTCTCTCTCTCCCACTCAACCTTCCCAGAACTTGAAGTAACCTCCAAAACTGAC